ACAGACCAAGCAAGGGGCACTTCTGCTCATGTTCTGCAACCAGGCACTGAAAGGCAGAATGGACCTCCTGTCTATCCCAATACATCAGAGGGAAAGAAAACTTGGGTTTAAAATGGGCCACTGTGAGCTCGATTCTAAGCAGCGATCTCAACTAAGGTCATCCAGCCGTTTCCCTACGGTTACAGTCCCAAGAATGTTTGCAGAAACTCTAGCGGTACAAAAACCCAACACGGCTCCCAGGCTACCATCTGCCACTTTTAAGTTTCATGGCAATTCTGAAAAGTTGTTCACGGAGGGAATGAGACGGAAAGAATGAGTGACTTAGCCCTCACAAAGCTGCCCTCTCTCTTCCTGGAGGAGGTAAATCCCTGCTTTCCACCAGTGGTTTCCAGTGCAAACTTCTTGCACTTTTCGAAGACACCACCGTGGTAAAGGTACTGATGCCAAGAAATTGCATTTAGCCTTTTGAGTCCATGGGAGACTGGGAGGCAGGGGTAGGGGGAGCAGATACTTTCCTGCCACCAGTCAAGCTGAGAAAAGTTGGCCCCGATCTCCTTTCCTTCCTTCTTCCTGTAACAGCCACATGCTCTCAGCGTGGCGCTTCCCCCTCTCACAGCCATACTGCTAAAGCCAGGCGTCCGCATAAGAAAGCCTCCTCCCCCAGCCACCTGCAGTAACTAAAAGTTCTCTTGAACTTCTGGATGTCCGTGCCACTCTGTAGGCCCCCAGCCACCTGCAGTAACTAAAAGTTCTCTTGAACTTCTGGATGTCCGTGCCACTCTGTAGGTCCCTGTAGTCAAAGCATCCAGACACCTTCGGTTCACACCTCAGCTGTCTCCATTTCACATCTGGTTTCCTGATCCATCACCCGCTACCAAGGGGACTCCTTGGCCTTCTCACACTCCCACCAGCTTACATACCTCCCTCCCTTTCCATTCCACAGAAATGTCACTCGTTTTCCAGTTTAAGTAACCGGAAAACATCCTCGAGTCTGTGTACAGAAGTTATCACCAGTGTCATTTTTACACCAATAATGAAATAGCAAAATTGGCCTAAGGACACCTAGGACTACACCTCCTTTTAGAGGTCACGGCCCAACCCAGCTGCAGGTTCATGGGCCTGTAATGAGCACTAACAGATGATAAAAAGTTCAACGTGTATGCGATGGCGTCTAACTCAGAGACTGCCACTTAGTGCAGATACATGTCTGAGAGCAGTACTCCACCCACCTAACCACACCAACCAGTGTACGTTTAACCAGCACCTGTTAGGGGTCTGCTCAAACATGAAGAAACGGGAGCTAGGGCAGAGTCCCTCAGCTGGGGGCAGGCTCGGTGGCCAAGAAACAATCCTAGGTACACATCCCGATCCTAGTGTCGGCAGCCTGGTCACAGCAAGGACCTATATGCCACCAAAGAAGTTTCTCCTTTTACGTTAAAATTGAGCTCCAGCCCAGGATTCCGTCTGCGAAATCTTCCTGCTGAGTTGCTTCCTCTTATCAAGTGATGTTAAACCTTGGGAACTGGTCCCGATACGTGACATCAGATACACGATTCTGTGTATGTGTGTGGAGGGCTATGAAAGGAGCCTGCCGGCTTGAGTCCCGGTGGTACAATCAGAGCATTTTTCTGCACGTGGGCTAGGTGCATGAGCCCCAGGGTCTGGGAGAAGATGCCTTTCTTTATCTGCTCTATGCTCTGGGCTATCATGTGTTTTAAAGAAAGGGTTCTATTTGCTGGAAGGAAGGGGAAACAAACAAACCCTGAAAAGCTAGACTGACCTTCTGGTGTCTAAACAGATAAACATTAGAATAACCTATTTCCTTGTTGCTACTCTAACCCATTCATTCACTTGCCTTGTAACTGAGTCAGAAGCAAGGAGACCGGGCTTTTCCTGGTTTGAAAATGCTCAGTTGGCTGAGCATCCAACTTCGGCTCAGGTCACGATCTCGTGCTTTGTGAGTTCCAGCCCTGTGTCAGACTCTGCTGACAGCTCAGAGCCTGGATGCCTGCTTCGGAATCTGTGACTCCCTCTCTCTCTGCCTTTCTTCTGCTCATGCTGTCTCTCAAAAAATAAATACATGCTAAAAAAAATTGTTTTTAGTGCAGTTTAACCATGTTAATCTAATCCTAGCTCATTCCTCAGGCACGTTCTGAAAAAAAGAAAAGTAAAACATATAAACCTCCAATCTGTGGCCACTTAAAGGAGGACACAATCCTCCCTCCCCCTTCGGCAAGGTGTGTGAGGTAGGGACGCGCACGGCCCTGGAAAGCCACTGCTCCCCGCACACCCGCTAGTGCTCGGTGCCCTCCTAACTTGCCCTTCAAGTGTTTTTCCCTTTAGCATGGTCCGTCTGGCATGAGATTTAACATGCCTAGGAATTATTGCACAGGATGTCGTCGCAGACATTCCGAAGATGCGGTACTCCCGAGTTGTTCCTTATTCAGGGATTTTACTTGTTCTTCAACTCTCGGGACTTCATTCTCAGATGGACTGTTTCCTCCCCAACCCACCCCCGCCCCCCAAAGGAAATACCAGATTTGAAGAAACCATGGCACTGTGGCTGACAAGGCTTAACTTAAGGTGAACATTAAAAAACAACAACAAAACACTAATAAAGAGCTTATTCTGCACAATTAGGAAAGAAAGACGCCAAACCATTGAAACAGAATTTATGTACATTTATGGCTTTATACAATAATAGCAAAGATTGTTCTTGTGTCTGTAAGTACATCAGCATCATCAGGCACTTCTCAGAGAGTATCGGAACAGGAACGTGGAATCTGTGCTGTTACTGAACTCGAGTAGTGAAATGCGGGGGGGATGTGACCGCATCCCGACAGGACTCCGGTGGCCACACCTGGCCACACTGCCAGGCCGTGCACACCACCCTCAAGGAGGAGGCCAAGAGTAATGCAAGGCTGTTTTGTTTGCATAAACCACACTGCCTTTTTTTAATGAACAATTAACTCCCAGACCAAAACCACAAGAGAAACTTCTCATTTAAAAGTCAGTTATAAATTAAGAACTCGTAAGAGCTGAGTGTGAGAGTTTCAAGTAAGTCTGGGGGGAGGGAGGGAGGTGTTGGTAACATATACCCAGCAGTTGAACATGTCCAAATTGTATACCTTTGGAAAACTTTTTTTTTTTTTCCCATTTCAAGTGTCCTTCTCCTCTTCTCAGTATGCTCCATTGATTTACTGCCCACTGGGATACAACATTTGCTAATTAATTTAGACTTTGTCAGTTTGTCGAAGCGGAACTTTGCAAGTAATACATCTAATTACCTAAATATATTCCATACATCTATATTACGGAAACAATACTTTATATTTAAAATATCAGAATAGCTCTATAATACAATATGCTTTTAATAACAGTACAAACCAGAGGAAATAAATCAAACAAGGCTGCATAGGTGATATCATTTGCACATTTCACAAAGCAATCATGTACAATAACTGATATACTAATTACTCAAGAAAGTCAGTATTCGTACAGAAAAAGTATTACCAGAGGTCACATAATGTTTGTTTTCAAAATAGACAAGGTGCCTTTCACTGGACTTCACTGTACCCCAGAGAGATACTCAAGATTCATGAGAATTTCAACACAAAAATCTGCAGGAAAAAAAAAAAAAAAAAAGAGGTATTTACACAGACTCAGGAGGAAGAAACATCTTTTTAAAAGTTACTCTAGGATGTAATAAGATTTTAAGAGTGATTTCTGCTGGAGTTGCCTCTTTAATGAACAAACAGCGGCTCTGAGGCTCACCACGTGATGGCATAGGAGGAGGAAAGAAGCTGGACACAGTAGAGAACCCAAGTACTCTGGCACCAACAAGTTCTATTACATATGCAGAAGGCACTGCTTAGAGGAACTAGGGTTTCCAAAACCAGACATATTTTGGAGTGGCTAGCAGTAAGGATGGTTGGACAGGTGGCTGTTTAATGAACTTTCAAGACAGTAGAAGTCACAGTGGGAAGCTTACAAC